TAGAACGCGGTTAAAAAAACATTAATCATTGTTAAAAAAAAAAAACCTTTTTAATATGAGCTACTTGTTTTAAAGTAAATCAAAACGAAAAGAAACTATTCACCGTTTATTCCGCCTTTATGAAATTATCATCTGGCCACCCTACTCAACGCCGACCTCCACCTGTATCGTAATATGATGGATTATTTGGCAAGCTTGTTCGTTTACGCACATCAACTATTGCGGGTTCAATCCGGAACCAATAAAATTTCTAGACTAAAGTACGAAAAGTTTGTCGCGCTGTAGGAATCGAACCAACATCTTCGGGATTCGCGCCCTGACGCCTTAGCCACCAAGCTGATTGCCACACCGACGAAAACCTTAACGTCTTTTGTCTACATTATTTCTTTGAAGATCGGGAAATGCCGGCGTTTCAAATGACGTTGAGTGATAACCGCAATCCATGGACATTTGCAACACCCGAAGGGTTAATGCACACACCTTTAAATTAAGTGGGCCCTAGTTACCTCACTCACCGGACGAAACGCAGAAGTGTAACACATCCAATTCACGCCGGTCTTCCGTGAGGCCGTGGTACTCACCCGGACGGACTTGCCCGTTCGTGCAACAGCGAAGACTGTTGCGGGGCCCTACCGCAGAGGTTATTACGTAATAATGTTGAACTAATTATGGTATTCGATATTCAGTAATTAAAATAACTCCACATTAATGTCATTATATCATTAATAACCGAGCGTACGGGTTTGAAACGACCGCGTAATGGACGCTCGACCTCATCATTGCAGTGCCGCTTGCATAATATGCTATTCACGGAGTAGAATAGTATGTTTCAACCGACTTGAAAAAAGGAGGATCCTAATTTCGACTGTATTTTTAGGGTTTCGTACCCAAAGGGTAATATGGGACCCTATCGCTAAGACCCGCTGTCCATCTCTCAGCCTGTCCGTCGGTCGCCTGGCTGTATCTTATGAACCGTGATAGTTACACAGTTGAAATTTTCACAGATGATGTATTTCTGTTGTCGCTACAAAAAGAAATACTAAAAAGCAGAATCCTTACTAATATTATAAAGGAGTTTGTATGTATGGATGGATGTTTGTTGCTCTTTCACGCAAATACTACTGAATGGATTTTAATGAAACTTTACAATGATATAGCTTATACATCAGAATAAAAAATAGGCTATAATTTATATACATTTTTTATGTATATCTGTCTTTTTGTCTGAATCTTGCACCTTCTGCCTGTTCTACGCATACGTAGTCGCGGGCAGCAGCTAGTAGAAATATATTTAAGTGGGGGCTCCCCAGAGACATGATTTTTTTTCGTTTTTTAGATAATGGTATGGAACCCTTCGAGCGCGAGTCCAACTCGCACTTGTTTTAAATTTGTTAACTCAGAACTCCGTCATTTATGAAGAGATTTTAAAACTCTTTTTTGCAATGGATTTAGCTCCCATATGGTCCAATATTGATTGGTATTGGAACTTGGGATCCGGAGATGCATACGGTAAATTCACTAAATCAAATAGAAAATGCGTAGTTAGTGAGATATTTGAGGTCGGTTTTGTTTTATTGTTAGAAAACATATGTGCTCGTATGCAACTAAGAATAATTATGTTACAATGCTCTTACATAAGGCAGAACCCGTTAGTGTTTATTGCACTGTGTACGAAAAAAAAACAGTTCTATGTCGGTGTCTACTCGACATGTATAAATCTCCGTTTTTACCTCTTCCGTGAGACTTGAGAAATGTGTTAATTTGCATTGGATCGATTTAATTAAAATTATCCATCGGTCAAATGTACTGTTACTCTGTAATTACATTATTTTCTAAGTTTTTTATGTATCCATTGTGATTAGACCGTGAATAAAACGTTTCTTCTATCTTTCAAATATATTTTACCAATTTCGTAGTTCCCTTGTCCTTTTGATTATGAAATAAAATCATTTTTAATAGAGTTTTCTTCATCGTACGCTGCTTTATTCCTAGGTTCAAGTTTCTTAATCTATGCAGAAATATTGTATTGTCCTAAACGAAGAAGTAGATAGATAGGTAGATATAAGCTAGATTATTATTGATTTTAATGACACCATAAAGTGCCATGAAATTTGTCATTTTATAACGTATAATATTAACGTTTAAACAAAGAGTAGAGTACAAAAACATAGCATTATAAAATATTGAACACGTGTACATTAGCAAATTCACTACTTTCATTATACACGCTTGCTTAGTGGAGCCTGCACTAGGTTCGCAACCTGTCTCGTAGTGGTCATACTCTCGATTAGCTAGTCTGGGGTCATTTAAATTAGGTAAGTTGCAATAAACATAATAATAATTTAAGTGTGTGCGTGCGTGCGTGCGTGCGTGCGTGCGTGTGTGTGTGTGTGTGTGTGTGTGTGTGTGTGTGTGTGTGTGTGTGTGTGTGTGTGTGTGTATTTTTAATGACTATGAAATCGCCGTGCCTATGAATTCCATTGAATACATACCCACATAATTACGCACAAGCTAAGCAGAAAATTGTGCATGAGCTGTAAATGTAAACCTTACTCTACCGAATGCGCAGGCTCTTCCGGGGAAATACCACGGCCTATCGGCAAACCAGCGTTTCGCCTCGTGAGTGAGGTAACCGTGCCCGCTCTTGGAAAATTGGGCGACGCTTCCGCGACCCCAACGGGTGACGAGCGATAATCACTTAACAGCATATAAACCTTAAGAAAATTACCCACATGCCTGGTACACAATACACTCCAGGGTGCGTTCATGATACATGTACCTCTTCTGCCGACCCCTGACAACGCATGTGTTGTAAAATGTCCATGGGCAGGCGGTTATCGCCTAACATCAGGTGAACCGCCAGCTCGTTTGCCACTTTCTCACATAAAAAATATGACCGTGCTTAGATTCAAATCATTCTGACTTTCATTACTTGCAGTTTGAGCTGAAAGCGTCTAAAACAGCGCGATCGGTCGACGCCTCGTATTACAACCGAAGCCTGGCGGGCGACGGTCACTGCGCTATCGTGACGTTGTCAATTGTCAGTCTCGACGCAACTAATATTATCGGAACGGATGATACATCGATAGTGCGATCGTGTTACGCTTAATAGCTACTACACTCGTCGAGACACGATCCTGTGTAATAAATGGCGAGCGCCTTATCTCAGTTTTTTTTTCTACGGAAACATGATTTTCGCGTCGATAGCGGATAGGAGCGCGTCGTAGTTTTCTTCGCATAGTGCCCGCCGCCACGGAGCGCAGAGTACTGGATGTGGCATCTGTAGTACATGTTACAAATATACATACAGACAGTGCTATTTCTTGCAGTAAATTTTTTTGTGCATAATTTGTACAGAATAAAGATGCATTTTGTATATACATAATCATTTTATTTTTAGTGTTTTTTTTTTGTTTCAATCCGCAAACTGTTAAACCTTCATCGAATGCCGAGCTCGTATCTTAATTAGATAGTATGTAATAGTAGTATGTGTATATGCTTTTATGCGGCCTGTGCCAGGTTGTGAATCTAAACATTAGTAAAATTTTACGACAGTTTTATCTACACGTTTTAAGTTTTATCTAAGTGCAGAGACTAGGACTAGAATCAAAAACTCAATAAAATTATCAAAAATAATTATATTGTCTATACTCTATTCTATACTAACTAGCAATTTGCTGCATCGTTGTTTTTAATTATTTATTACTTTTATCAAGTGTTGATTAAAATTTTATAAAATGAAATATAAATTACCCTATTGGGGAATGTAATTTCACACTAGGTAATTTTACGGTTTTCTTTAAACTTTGCGTGAACGATGTGACTGAGTGGGCAAGTGTCATCGTTGACTTATAAAGTGGCCTACTTAACTATTCAGAAAATATTGTACCTCCCGATGTACTTCCTCCTCATTACTTATGTTTTAATACAAATTATAGCATGGTTCGTCGTTAATTTGTCAACTTACTATTGAATAGTAAATTTATAATGTGGAAATAGCCCTTTATTTCGCGGGTTAAGGTTCCCAAACTTTTTTTTTATACAGCGTGTCGTTACCATCGCGACGATAAATGAACAAACGTCTAACGCTACGTGCCAATAATCATTAAAAAATATTAACGTTAAACAAACTCCATAATTAAAAAAAAATATTTTTCAAACAAACTAATTAAGTAAGAAACAAAATTTGTAACATACTATACAACTCGCGCCACAGCGTCGCATTACAAGCCTCTCCTTCTAACAGTATGTTTTGTCTCTTTTAAATTTATTCAACCCATTCATATGCTTTGTGACCTTTACAAATGAACTTTACGTTACGCTTTTATAGGTGAGGATGTTCTAAAATTCTTTGTTTTGGAAAATTTAATAACTCTGTAAATATTGATGTTTAAAGAATATAAATGTTTAATACAACTTTAAAAAGTTATCCCCTATATGTGTGTTCATTTATTGTCGCGATGGTTACGACACGCTGTATATAAAAGCATTGCCCTCACTTTAGGATAATTTTATCCTGTGTTGTAAGGACGTTTTACAAACATAAATTGGACGAGGACAAGCACCCAGATGCGAAACAACTATCTGTGGGCCGCACAAATAGTTATCCCGTGTGGGAATCGAACCCACAACCCCCGACGCCCAAGCCAATACCTTGGCAATTGTGCCACGGAGTCATCAAAACTATGTACAAATACCGTCGATCCCAAAAGGTAAAGTACCGCTAGAATCAACTTACAGCCGTACAATGGTTACCTATTCGTTAAACAAAATTGGTCAACACATTCCATCCCATTTACCGCTCTGACAATGAAAAACACACTCGAACATTTAAAATGTATAGAAATTGAAATACTCTTTATCATATCTTATAACTGTTTATAGAATTAAAACTTATTAAGTGTGACCACTGCGCGTCGCAGAATTCTGTTAAAATCCTTTTCTGTTCTAATGAACAAGCCAATCCGCGTGCTGTCCCTAGCGTATCGAGTCGGATTGCAATGCCGCATCCAGCGGCGCGCGCTCCGCGGCACACCGCGATAACGGTCCGCGCGCGCGATTCGGGCGGGACGCGGCGGCGCGCGCGAAACTCGCCAGTCCCCCGCCGTCAGCCGCACAAAGCGGTCGCGTCGAACTGTACTTGCGCAGTGGTGCCCGTCGCGTGTGATAACAACACAGCGGATTTCACCGAAACCCTAATCGCAGGAGCCGCCGCCAATAAGTGAGTGCCGATGCCGAGCCGTATCGCGGCCCCGTGAAAGTCGCACGCTTACGGAATAGTTTCACTTTCGACAGCGCAGCGGCGTACGTACGTACGTGGCCGTGTTACGGTGGACAGCGCCGCGCTCCGCGAGCGATTAATATTATTGGCGTCCGGAATAATTAACCGACCCGTGTTCGTTTTACGAAACGACGCGCGTCGCTTTCGGCGGTATTGACGATTACCTTTTTTTTTTTTCTTTCTAGCGATCGTGCACTGGAAAAAGTGGCGGTCGGCCCACTCGACGTTTTTACTTCCTGTTGTGTTCGACACCGATGGTTGCGTGTTAATTTGTAATTTAAAACGCTTTTGGATACGTACGGAGGGCTTAATTATGTTAATGTTGGTACATAACATTGAAAATATCATCGTTTTACTACGATTCCGTTTTATTATTTTTATAGATAGATAGACTGAAGATTTTATTTTGTCTTTTGTTTACGAGAGCTAATTTGAATATATTATTTATTACCCGGTTGGCTTATGCTTTAAGGTCAGCAGTTAGAAAGTAAAACCGGTCAGATATTAATATTATAATAATTAGAAAACTAGTGACGGAATTTTAGAAATTCATAAACAACTCGTTCTAGTAGGATTGTATGACTGGTTTAGTATTTTTGTCAGTTATGTATTTTTTAATATCACATTGCTCGAAGTAAGGACACAAGTTTGACAATGGATAAAAGTTTTAGGAAAAAAAATAATTTTCAATAAGTTTTATACATTTTTTCATTTACTTAATAAATGTTAATTAAATTTATGTGCAATTGTAATTATTTAAATTTATGAAACCGAATGATTCATTGACCGCACACTATATTTGCGGTTTTCTCCCGGTCTATCTCGATCGTGCCTAATTTAACTGGAACTGAACTTTGTAACGGATAAACTCACACCCGGTTTTTGAAACACTGACCATCGTAGAAGTTAGCTAATCATATCAGAATGATCTTAATGATCAGAATGATCAATTCAAAGAGTCTAACAATCCTTTTGGCAACTCTTTTAACTGTGGTAGGGCCACGCAACAGTGTTCACTGTTGCACGAATGGGCAGGTCCGTCCGGGTAAGTACCGCGACCTCACATAAGACCGGCGTAAAGTAGAAGTGTTACACTTCTGCGTTTCGTCTGGTGAGTGAGGTAGCCGGGGCCCGCTTTATTTAAAGGTGGCAACGCATTTGAAACCCTACGGGTGTTGCAAATGTCCATGGGCGGCGGTTATCACGTAACATCCGCCAGCTCGTTTGCCACTTTTTCACATAAAAAAAAAGTAATGACATTTGACAGCTGATTAGTTAACTTCTACGATGTTCACTGAATGGTTTCTGAAACACCGATCATCGTAATGTCAACTAATCGGCTGTCAAATGGTTTTTCAAATTTCATTTTAGTTGCCAAAAGCATGGTTAAACTCTCTGATTTGACTAGAATGATCTTCTTAATGATCAAAATGATCAGATGAATGAGTTTATCCATCGTTTTAGCAACTCAAATGACATTTGAAAAGTCATTTGACAGCTGATTAATTGACATCTACGATGATCAGTGTTTCAGAAACCGGCCGTCAGTTTTTGAGAAACCGTTTAAATGTGCAGAAAAGTTATGTTATTCATTATGTCAGGCGATAAGTCGACGTTATGAATGAGCACAAACTATACTAGAGTCAAATTTATCACGCATTTGACACTCAATAATTTTATTTTTATTCCGTACGCCAAATTCTAAACTATGACCAAAACTCACGGCTACCGAAAAATATGAGTTTTATGGACATTTTCAGGGCAGAAAAGGTCACCGTTGTTTACTCTACTACAACTTGATGCAATCATGGCGCGTAACAGCTGATGTTTGACAGTTAGCGTTTTGCTCGGTTAATGAGTTCACAACTCGGATTCCAATTTACGGTCAGCCGTTATTAGGTATCCCTAATTCTTTTTAGTGCATAATATTTTTAATATAGCCTAAGTATGTTACTCAGGGATAATGTTGAAAGAATTTTTGAGATCGGTCAAATAGTTTTTGAGTTTATTCGTTACAAACGTACATAAATACAAATCTTTCCTCCTTATAATATTCGATTACGTTTATTGTTTATTATACATATATATAATCATTCAGAAATGATCAAAAAGTCAATTTCTTCATTCATCTAAAACTTTTATCAAAAACGACCAAGTGCAAGTCGGACTTCGGTATGGGAATCCCACTTAAATATTTTTTATTCTGTTTTTTAATATTTTTTGTTTTAGCGGACACAAAAATACATCATCTGTGAACATTTTAACTGTCTAACTTAAGCCGAGTCTTAGTAATAGGGTCCCGTTTTACCGCTAAAAATGATATTCTTTAAAAATAAAAAGATAAAAAATTTGGCTCCGCTATTGTTGGCGGGAGACAGACAGCGATTCGGACCGGAGACATCAAGCCCCCCCCCCCCCCCCCCTCTCCCCCACAACCTGCCTTACGTCATCCCTGCTTGGGGTCAAACACCCAGATACGCAACCCTTAGTGGGTCACACAGGTATTTCTCGACCGAAAATCGAAACTGCGAAATTCGGCTCCAAAGCCAATTGTTTGGCATCTGCGCCACCGAATCCTAAAGAACTAGGTCAGTCGGGATTCCGTATAACAGGGTCGGGGGTTTACGTCCAGCGACTATAGACTTCACAAGAGCCGCTTCTTCGATTGTAAATACTCGATGAAAGACTAATGCCCGATTTCTGAAACACTGAACATCGTAGAAGTCAACTAATCAGCTCTCAATCTTTGAATTGATCATTCTGATCAATTCAGACAGTTTAAAGTTTAAACATCATTTTGGCAACTCAAATAACATTTGAAAAGCCATTTAACAGGTGATTAGTTGACTTCTACGATGATCAGTGTTTCAGAAACCGGGCGCTAGTGTTTATCCGCCTTTCTGATTTGGATAGCAGCTCGATTATCAGCCGTATAGTCTCAGGCTCAGAGAATAAGGCAAAGGTGACGCTGTCGTCATGGATGACCGGAATGGGACCTGACCCCCCATTTTAGTAGACCCCGCAGGGGCAGCATTACGAAGAAGCAGTGCTAGTAGTGCAAAAGACCATGAGATAATCGGGGATAGCCTACGAAAGTTGACAGTGTTAGCGGGTATGAACACTGTAATAGGTCTGTCTTCAAAGGCAGACTTTCTTGCGGGATTTTCTCAGGTCTGGCCTAGTTCAGTGAACCGATAGTCTTGACGTTCATTAAGATCTCATGTGTCATCCCGTAATGGGGGTCTGCCGCGCATCAACGCGTCGGTCGTCAAGAACCGCAACTATTCGACCTTATACACCCCGCGCCTCTGACGTCACTCATTACCATTGCTAATGGCGACTCGGTGGCCGCTGGCGTCGGTCGCCTCGTGAGCCGCTAGCCAACACTCGGAGCACTCGGAAAAATCGAAAAAAAGACTGCACCTGTCTCGCTCGCACGCCCGAAGCTGCCACCGCTAGACGTGGTAGAGCGACAGCTGCTGTTGCACGAATGTGCAGGCCCGTTCGGTCGACAAGAACCACCTCGCAGTTGACCGGCGCGAATTGGAAGTGATACACTTCTACGTTTCGTCTGGTTAGCGACGTAGCCACTTTATCAAAAGGTGGCAAGACATCTGCACGTCTGATGAGTGAGGTAGCCGGGGCGCTATTTGTTCAAAGGTGGCAACGCATCTGCAACCCAACGGGTGTTGCGAATGTCAATGCACCGGCACAGCACCTCAGAAAGCCTTGGCCGTACCTCAGAAGGTCATATTAGCGTCGGAGTCGCGGAAGATTGCGTCTTCGTGTTCCCTTGTCCTCGCCCGATGTGACATTGCAGATGCAACTTGGGTTTTTGTGTGGACATCCTATCCTTCGAGACTCCAGCAACTCTGCCGCAGTGGTGTAGATTTTTCCGCAGTTTAGTTCGGTCAAGTACCACGTCCGATTGGACGGTGCGAAGTTTAAGCAGTCGTACATTTCGTTTTGTCGGTGAGGTCCACGCGTTCAGTTGTTGGCCACGCGCCTGCAACATCTCTGGAGTCCTGTTTTGTGGGCTCCTAATTTACTATCAAACGAACCGCTCAATTTTATTATTAGTCAGAGACAACGTTTCCAATACCAATTCACCATAAACCATGCCTTTACAACTGTTTTCGTTCGTTCTCCGTGAAACAGATTGATTTCTACCATTTTATCGTAAATGATAATAAGTAAGTATTGTTATTTGATAGCTCTTTGTTGTTAAACAATAACTGTGTCGCAATGATAATAAACAACATCATTGTAAACTGCACGTGTTTTTATTTATCGCTAATTAAGTTTTTATTTGTGGTATTACCAGCCGTGATAGCTCAGTGTCCGGCGCTCGCCTTTTATTTAATATAGCCGAGCGACCCGAGTTCGATCCCGGGTGTCGGCGCCAATGAAATTGTTTAATTTTAAGTGCTCACTTACCACGTGTTCAGCGGTGAAGGAAAACATCGTGAGGAAACTTTCATATTTTCGAAATAATGTAAAAAAAATAATTTCTAGATATGTGAACTCCACCAATCCGCAGTGGGGACGCGTGGTGGACTAACACCCTCTCAACATAGAAGTGGGACGTGTATAGGCTGTTACTTAACGTTTGGTTTTTTTTTTTTAAGATGATGATTTACTGACGTAACTATTCAACGAACAACTGCCAACCGTTAAGTCGCGTTCGTAAATTATGCAATAACGAAGGCGATTCGTCACACATACACCTCTCGCGGCCCTTTGTTTTAAGGCGCGGTTAAAACTTCCTTATTTGTTACGGTAAACTCGTTTTAAACTGATTGCGCGCTCCTGCGGTTAACCTTCCCGCCGCCTTAACTGGCGGTTAGTTTTGACCGCATAGTTGTACCGTCGGCTAGGTTCCGGCTCGTTACGCCCGACGTCTCGGAAGATGAGCCGTGGATGAAATTCGAAATCTTCTC